GAAAGAGTTTGCCTCAGAAAAGAAGTTTTATAATTTAAAAAAATCCAATCTAATATTTAAAGGTCCATTGTGTAACATTTAGGAGGATCTACAGGCAGACATTTAATATAATATTAATAGGTATGTTTTCATTAGTGTATATTTACCACAATATAAGAATCTTAAAATGAGCCTTTTATATCTACAGAGGCCTCCCACAGAGTGCACCATGTTGAACCGCCATGTTTCTACAGTAGCCCAGAACACACAAACTAATACTGGCTGTAGATAGGGCTGTTCACATTTTTCATGGCCACCATAGTTTCTCCTTTGCACTTGAAACTTGTTATAAACCTCTTTTTGGAAACCGAACAGATCCAAAAATGAATTATTATTAAAAATTAAAAATAAAAACCCTACTATGTATTAGTTCAATTTTCAGCAAATATAACAACAGGTCTTTTTATATAAAAGTTACCTACTGCAGCTTTAACAATTTGAAATGCAAATGTATTAATTATTACATTAATACATTAGGCAGCTTTACAGCAATACATATTTTATTTTGAAAACGGTAAGCGGAAGTCCTTTCTTCCTCCGCCGTGTTTTACACAGAGAGCAGCGCGCAGCCAGCTTCTCCTCAGAAGGGTTTAGGACCATGGGGTCAGCCGGCGCTGGGCTCATTCTGCTCACTTGTTTTCCTCACCCGAAACTCTGAGAGATACTTTTTATCACACCTCAGAACAACCGAAGCTACCCGGCATGGAGCTATAATGATGCTTACACACACACCAACTCTTCGGAGCAGCCAACTTGACTTTTTCCAGACTGGAATAACGCTCACTCCGCAGTAGGTAAGTAACCGTTAAAGTTAGCTCTCCTTTGTGTGGACGCTCCGCACTGCTGAGACCGTGTTTCTGTCGCCCGTTGCTAACTTCCAAACTCACCCGACCTCTGTCTACTGTGGAAAGACAAGCTCCCAGACACATTGTCAATTATTGCACCGTCAACAATAAAGCAGCATCATGGGTGAAGAATCCTGCGGGACGTGTCGTACAAGTTAACACCACCTGTTGCTCGACGTCAGTGTTCGACCAGCCTGTATGGAACAAACGCACCAACGCTACACACATAACATTACATCTGCACAGAACCTGAGCTCTATGGAAGCCCGCTTCTGCCAATATGACGGAGAATTCATTATAGTCATTATAATGGGAAACTTAACAAGTGGTGCTGAAAAACATTATTT